ACAGTGCCCAATTGTTGCTCTTTTCATCGGCAGTAAGTCGGCCTAACTTTATCTTTAGTTCATTTTCAGAACTCAAGTGGCAAAATCTCATTTTCAGTTGACAGCATCAAAATGATTTCTTTATGTGTTAGCAATTGATCTCTCCTTTGACCAAAATCTCTTATGGCTGATTTGAGAATGTTATCGGTATGCTTTTCATTTTCAAATAAAAGTGTTTTGTATGACAATTGGCTTTGATTTTTGAACATTTTCTCCTGACCCATCTTTTCCTGAGCAAGGTCAATGACATTGCTGTTCGAGACTTTTCCTTTTCTTTTCTCCCATCCTTTGAATTCTCGTGTGGCTTTTTCTCACTTTTTTGTTAGAAACATGCTTTCAACAGATTCTCAAGTTTGCTATGAAAAGCATATATATCTAGTGACAACTAGTTTTCAAAACTGATATTTTCCACCATAATGAACTTTTTGCTATTTCACTGTTTCAATTCATACCAAATGCATAAAGCGAGTTTTACTATCTTCACTCAAACCGTATTCTACCTTATGTGAGAGGACTGTCACACATTCTTCTGCACACATTCTTTTTTTTCCCACTGCTCTTCGAAAATGGAGCCTTCATTTGCACTTCTTCCACAATTTCCTGCAAAGTTTTGTTTTCATTTTTATTTTCAAATTCATTTTCAAGTATGTTGATCTTTTCATTCAGCTAACTGTTCCAGTCAGTTTAGTTGCCTTTCTTTCACAGTCACTTCAGAATGCTCATGATCAATTTCTTGAGACGCAAAATAGAAATTTCAGAAACTGATTTGATAGAGCCATTTTGGTGGCCAGGGCCCGGGATTATATCTCGCCAGTTGATACAGCAACATTGAGTAAGAAACATTGCGAACTGGAGGAAGTGTGTTTTTTAAAAACTCTGCTTATGTCACTAATGTGTCATAAATTCACGCAGAATTATTTTCTGCAGTCTGAAATGCACTAATTAGTCAATACACAGCTTATTCCCCGCTGTTATTAGACTGCTGAATAGACCTCTCTAATTTCAAATCTAATGTTGATCTTGCTTTTGTGCACCTCCTGTGCCCTATATGCCTTGCTCTGTCCAAACACCCCATGTTCTGTATATCCTTATGATCTGCCTGTACTGCTCGCAAAATGAAAACTTTCCACTGTATTCAAGTACATGTGACAATAAATAAAAACAAAATCTATGTTTTAAAAATCTTTTCTCATTTGCCATTTTTCTACACATATCAATTTAAGACCCACATTCATTTCTATTGAACGCTCCCTAAGTAAAATTCACACTGGGATTTAGCACTGCTGGATAATTGAGCCAAATCTTAAGGTCATTGTATGTAGGTCACTGAGATACACTGCTCTGTTACATATCAGTTTAAAGGATTTACTATTCCTTGGTTACAATACTGGCTGTAAGCTGCAGTCTGTACTATCCAAAACACTAACCTTTCACAAGGCAACTGTTTGTCCCCAGTTCATAGAGAAAGAAATGCATGTGAAAAGAATGTTTTTGACATATCCATCGAGATCAGCATAGTATGAAGGAAAAGAACAGGAATTACAATATTAGTATTGAATGTTGCAAATTGGTAAGCAGGTTGATGCGATAGAATTTAATCAGATCAGTCACTAAAGTCTGAGACCTCGTTAAACAGAGCATGAGAGAAAGTAACTTCATTTCTTCACCTGAAAAATCGGTGAGTTTAGATTTTCCTTCACTATTTTAAGAGTTTTATAGCAACATCAATAACATTCAAATGTAAAATTGTTTAGATTATGATCTTAATGGAGTAATCAGGTTTGGTATGGTTTAACGTAATAAAACATACATGTGGGTTACAGTGTAGCTGCAATAAATTGAGTTACAGTTGCTGTAAGATATTAGTACAGGGTTTGACAAATTTCCCTAAATCTGAATTGTCAATACACTTTAACATGTCATATTAAGATTCAGGAATTCTTTTTCTCTCTGTCTTTCACTATCCTTTTGGAGCAATGTTTTAAAAATATATTTAATGGACGTTCCATTGCAAAGATTCTTGGAAAACATGTTCAGTTTTACAGCATGAGGTGTATTCAATTGTGCAATATGTGAGAGATTAGACAGAATGGTTTTGCATGTTTTTTTTAACAGAAATAGTAAATAAGCATCAATTGAAATTCAGCTCTGTACTGGAAGGTCAATTTAGGATCTTATTCAAATTGAATATTGCTGGAAAAATAGAAAGCGCTGAAGAAACTCAGCAGGTCTAGCAGCATTAGCAGAGAGAAAAAAAGAGTTAATGTTTCAGTCATCCTTCTTCAGGCAGAACATGAGTTTTGGCTGTGTACAGAGGTAATAAAAGCTTATGTAGTGCACTGCCTTGAGCTAGTTGTCTAAATGTCAAATTTTATTGTACAACAATGGTCAACAATGTAGGATAAGGGTCAAAGATGCAGGAAAGAAGGTGAGATCAATCAAGATAGTAGTAATTCAGTTATGCCTACCCTCGATTTTTAAGGATTGAAGGAATAAGAAAAGACAGAGAAAAATACGAACTTCCATTGTTACTGAGATATTTTGAAATAACAGATTAATGTAAGATATGTTGCAGTGAATATTTCGAGGAAAGTTTCTCGTCCATTGTGGCACATAACTCCTACAAGTGGAGGTGCGGGTGTTGGACTGGGGTGGACAAGGTCAGAAATCACACATCACCAGGTTATAGTCCAACAGGTTTATTTGACAACACAAGCTTTCAGAGACTCGCTCCTTCTGCTGGTGTTAGTGAGAGAGATGGTATCAGACACAGAATTTATAAGTCAAAGATCAAAAGGTCACACCACTGAGAAAGACTGTGTGTGTGTGCGCGTGTGTGTAAGAGAGAGAGAGTGTGTGCTTGTGTGTGGGGGGAGCTGGGTTGGTTGAGGAGAGAGAGAGAAAGAGAAAGAGTGTGCGTGTGTGTGTGGGGGTGGGAGGGAGAGAGAGAGTGTGTGTGGGTGCATGCTTGTGGGGGTGGAGAGAGAGAGTGTGTGTGTGCCTGTGTGTCTCTGTGTGTGTGTGTGGGAGAGAGAGTGTGTGTGTGTCTGTGTGAGGGAGAGAGAGAGTGACGCTTGTGTGTGTGGGGAGTGGGACGGTGGTGGAGAGAGAAAGAGAGAGAAAGAATGTGTGCGTGTCTCTGTGTGTGAGGGAGAGAGACAGTGTGTGTGCGTGTGAGAAGGAGGCAGAGAGAGAATATGTGTGCATGTGTATGTGTGTGTGTGCTTGAGAAACAGTAGTATGAGAGAGGATCTGTGTGTGTGTGTGTGTGTGTGAGAGAGAGAGAAAGAGGCAGAGAAAGAATATGTGTGCATGTGTATGTGTGTGTGTGCTTGAGAAACAGTGTGCGTGTCAGAGAGGATCTGTGTGTGTGTGTGTGTGTGTGTGTGTGTGTGTGTGCGTGTGTGTTGTATGCATGTGTGCAAGTGTGTGAGTGAGAGAGTGTATAGCATGGTGGGATCACCTTTAGGCATGGTATATTGGCAAAACTATGCAGACGCTACAACGGATGAATGGTCACTGCGCAACACTCACCAAACAGGGATATTCCCTCCCCGTGGGGGAACATGAGGCGGTCAAGGACATTTGGCATCGGATCTTCAGGTAAACGTCCTCCAAGGCAGACTTCGGATACACAACAACGCAGAGTTGCCGAGCAGAGGCTAATAGCCAAATGCAGTACTCCTGAGGATGACCTCACCCGGGATCTTGGGTTAATGTCGCACTACACGTGACCCCACCACACTACACACTCTCACACACACATACACTCATACACACGTATACATACACACACACTCTCCTACACAAACACACTCTCACATACACACACAGACTCTCTCTCACAAACACACACACATATGCACACTCTCCCTAACACACTCACACTCTCACTCTCTTTCTTCCCCCTCCCCCTCTTACTCTCACACACACACTCTCTCTCCCTACACACAATCATTGTCTCTCTCCCCTCGTCCACACACGCACACACACACACTCTCTTTCTCTCCCCCACCCCTTACGCGCAAACACGGACACACACTTTTCTGTCTCTCTCCCCTCGCTCCACACACCCACACACACACACATAAATCTATGGGGTGAATTTGTATTTGTAGTTACATTCAATTTTGTTCAAAAAGCACACAAATTATAGTCAGTCAGTCAACGTAATAAAACCAGTCTGACTCCAAACCAAAACACAAACAGATTCTAAACAAGGCTTCACACCTAACATGCATTGTCTGACCTAAAATGTCACCTCTTTTTTACACTGATAAAACGTTTGGTTCTCTCAAGGCAGTGGCTTGAAAGAAATTAGTGGATTTACATATACATATTAATCAATTAAAACCTTCTAACTGATTAAAGATGTAACAGCATCTTAGGTTTGTTTAACACATCCTCATCAGTTGTGTTGATCCTTTACTTATAAATTCTGTGTTCTGTGTTCTTCTTTCTCAATTCACCTGATGAAGGGGTTATGTTCTGAAAGCTTGTATTTTCAAATGAACCTGTTGGGCTATAACCTGGTGTCGTGTGATTTCTGACCATAACTCCTAGAAAGTACATTGAAGGAGTTACAGATTCACAAACCCTGTTTTAAAACCCATTAAATTGATGAATGGTTCCATGATGTGCATCTTCTGGATGCTTCCCTCCACTGGCAGCACTGAATCTGCCACCAATTTTAGGGTAGAGAAGATGTAAGAATTAAGGCGAATGTGAAACATGTGTGTGGTATATTTGGAGCTAGAAAGATTAGCAGGAGCTTTGCAATACTAGTTGTAATCAAAACACAGTCAAGAAGGACAGTGAAAGTGAACAAGAATGTGTAGGCATTCACGGGTGGGATGAACTGAATGAACCTAAGTCTCTTTTTCTTTTTGCAGAGCTTTTGCAAACAACTCGGAAATAACGGATTAATTTTTAAATTTATTCCTCAACTAAATGTTCTGGACTGCTGTAGGGTAGCCATGTCATATCATTCCTCTTGTTTCAGTAGGTTTACATTGAAATTATCAAACCCTCCAATTTGGGTTGATACCAAAAACCAATGGTTTGCTTCATATTCACTGTCGCCCTTCCTCCTGTTTTGCATCATTCTGTTGAGTTTGACGCTTCCACATTCAGTACATTGTGTGACGTACAAAGTGGGGGTTGTAGGACCCTGGAGATGTGACCCAATGTTTGGTAAAGCTCTTCCAAATGTTGCTGCCAAATTAGCTGTTGATCGAATCAACAAGGATTCCTCCTTAAGTCTTGGCAACCACTTTGATTATGTGATACTAAATGAAGGCTGTCAAACCTCCAAAGCTTTAGCTGCTTTTCTTGAGTATTCAGAACTGGCATCTGGATTCATTGGCCCTACAAATCCGGGCTATTGTGAACCTGCTTCTCTTCTGGGAAAAAATTGGAATAGAATTATATTTTCGTGGGCTTGTATAAACTATGAACTGGACGATACTCTGAATCATCCAACCTTTGTGAGAACTTTACCATCTCCAACAAGAGTTCTCTTCAGGGTGATGAAAAGCTTTCGGTGGGCCCATGTAGCCATCATCTCATCAACGGAAGACATTTGGGTGGATACAGCTGCGAAAGTGGCCAGTGCCCTCAGGAAACAGGGCCTGCCAGTGGCAGCTGTGTTTTCAATGGACAATGAACCAGGGAGCATCAGGAACATTCTAAAGAAAATAAAAACTATTGAGAAACTTCACAGTATGTACAGACTTTTTTTATTTGGTTCATCAATTAGTGAATGGTAGGAAATGCTGACCAACAAATAAATAAATAAAAATTCAATTAACCTTTGAAGTTAGCAATCTGTAACCTGTTAATGGGAATGCTGTTGATATCTGAGAGTTGTTCACAATGAATTTTGTGTAGATCCTTCAGCATTAGTTTGTCATTATATCGGGAGCAAAATGCTCTCTGGGGACCAGCAGAAGAGATTGCTGGTTGAATAATAACGATTTCATCCATATAGTGCCTTTCACCACCAAACATCTCAAAGCATTTTTCAGTCAACAAAACCAATCTAAATGTTGTTGTGATGTAGAAAACACAAAGCTAATTTGCACAGAGCCAGCACTGTCCCCCTTCAAAACAGCAATGTGATAACGATCAATTAATCTCTTTTAGTGATGTAAATTGGGGAATAAATATTGGGCAGGATATTAGGAAATAGCTCCTTGGAATAACTTACAACTGTCTGAGAGGACAAATAACACCTGGGTTTTTGCACTGGCTGTGCAGTACTCCCATAGAACTGCACCAAAATTCCAGCATTATTGATCTCTGCTCAGGTTCTGGAGTAGGGCTCGAACCTTCGAACTTGGAGACAAGAGAGTTACCAACCTATAAACAGCTAACTGTCTCTTTTTCCTCTATTTTCTTGACAATCCATGTATTTCTTTTCCCAAAACCTTTTCTAATATTCCCCCAAAATTCCAAATAGAACATGCATTACCTCATCCCACTATGGATATTTATCACACCATCTCTTGTTCCACATTCTTCCTTTCCTGGAACTTCAAAGTGGAGCTATTTCTCAATTCTGTCAACTACCTACTCTTCCCCTCTGGTGCCCTTCTTGTCTGATTCTATCCTGATCTTACAACATGCCAGTCTGGGATAATCTCACCATGCAGTGAAAGACCAGTATCCCTGATACCTGCCTTCTGAATAACCACTGAAAGACCAGCATCCCTGTTACCCACACTATAATCAAAAGGCCACATTGCACCCAGATGAGACTGGTATTCCCAAACTGCCTTGCTGGGTAATAGACAGTCATTCTGAAGATGTCAGAGAATTTGTACCTGGAAGTCCTGGAGGAATGGGTGCTGCAGAGGAAGGGTGTCCTCTTCCCAGGGACCAGCAGAGGAGGCCACAACACCAGACCCTGGCAACTCACTGCCATCCAAAAGGGTCATAGGGTCATACAGCATGGAAACAGACCACTTGGTCCAACCAGTCCGTGCTGACCATAATCCCAAACTAAACTAGTTCGACCTGCCTGCACTTGGCCCATATCGCTCCAAACATTTCTTAATCATGTACTTATCCAAAAGTCTTTTGAATATTGTAACTGTACCGCATTCACTACTTCCTCTAAAAGTTCATTCCACACGTGAACCATTCTGTGTAAAAATATTGCCTCTCATGTACTGTCACTAATGCATACAAAATGTACACTCCCCCAATGTGCATCCTGCGCTTCCCCCCCCCCCCCCCCCCACACCCCCCCCCCCACCCCACCCCCAACTGAAGCCTGCTGACCAGCAAAGCAAGGCCAGGTAAGGCATGAATGGTGAGAGCAACAGACAGTGTAAGCTGTGCAGCCATTGGAAGTCCAGCACATGTTGATCGCTGATGAATGGCTTCCACATCTGACCATGCCTGAACCTCAGACATTCACGTAGCAGCAAAAACAATTATAGTGAACACCAACTCTGAACAAGTGGGTAGTAAGTGAGCGAGTGTGAGGACAGCAGGCGAGTAACTCTAAGATGCAGCCTGGTCCAATGCTTGCCTATGTGCAAAGTTGCCCATTCACCCTGCAGTACAGGTCTGTGCATCTAAGCACCCTCCAGGTCGATTGGATGGGTGCAATGATGACCATGAGGGATTGGCGAATGTCAGATTACTGTGGATGATGGGTGCGTATGCCTGATACCCATGCCCTGAGATACATTAATCTCTTTCTCTTTGTCCTTACCATTGATTCTGAATCACTGAGGTCCCAGCACTAGTTCTTGTAACACTCCACTAATCCCAACCTGCCAACCTGAAAATGCCCTCTTTATGCCATCCAATTGCTTCCTGTCTGTTAAACCATCCTCTATTGATGCTAATATATTACCAACTTCATGAGCCTTTATCTTGCCCATTAACTTAATGTATAGCACCTTTTACAAATGCAGGCATATTACCTCTACACATTACCACTTTATCTATCCCCTTGAAACATTTTAATAAATTTGTCAAAACTGGGGGTAACTATTGTAATCCCAGTACTTATAAAGAGAGAAAACAGGACTTCATAGACCAGTTAGCCTGACATTGGTAGTAGGGAAAATGCTAAAGTCTGTTATAAATGATTTAATAGCAGAGCACTTGGAAAACAGTGACAGGATTGGACACAATCAGCATATTTTTACGAAAGGGAAATCAAGCTTGGAAAATCTATTGGAATTTCTTGAGGATATAACTAGTAGAACTGATTGGGGGAGCCAGTGGATGTGGTTTACTTGGACTTTCAGAAGTCTTTTGATGAGGTCTCGCAAAAGAGATTAATGTGTAAAACTGAAATGCATTGGATTGAGAATAATGTACTGAATTAGAGAACTGGTTGGCAGACAGGAAACAAAGTGTAGGAATAAATAGGTCATTTTCTGAGAGGCAGTCAATGAGTCATCAGGTACCACAAGGTTCAATGCTTGTACCTCAGACCTTCGCAATATATATGAATGATTTAGATGAAGGAACTAAATGTAATATCTTCAATTTTGCGGGTTACACAAAGCTGGGTGGGAGGGTGAACTGTGTGGAGGATGCAGAAATGCTTCAGGGTGATTTAGACAAGTTGAGTGAGTCAGCAAATGCATGGCAGATGAATTTTTATGCAGAGAGCCGTTTGTAAGTGGAATGAGGAAGTGGGTGATGCAGGTACAGTTACAACATTTAAAAGACACTTGGATAAGTACATGAATAGGAGAAGTTTGGAAGGATATGGGCCAAATGCGGGCAAGTGCGACTGGTTTAGTTTGGCAATAAGGTCAGTATGGAATAGTTGGACCAAAGGGTCTGTTTCCGTGCTATACGACTCGATGAATGTAAGACTCTATAATAGAAAAGCTTAACATTATTCAAAAGATGTGAAACTTGTAAATATTAATCTTCAGAAGAACCTAGGTCTATTTTTATATGAGGAACACAAAGTTTGCATGTAGTTGCAGAAAGCAATTATGAAGTCTAATGGCATGTTAGCTTTTATTGCAAGGGGGAGTGTAGAGGAGTAACAAAGTCTTGTTAAAATTTTACAGGACTTTGGTGAGACCACATCTGAAAAACTACATGCAAATTCTGTCTTCATATTTAAGGAAGGAGGTGTTTGTATTGAAGGTAGTGAGGGTCCCCTTGATTGGTCCCTGGGATGAAAGGATTGTCTTATGATGAGAGACAAACTGTATTGTGCCTATACTATCTGGAGTTTAGATGAATGATATGTTATGTCATTGAAAAGTACAAGGTTCTGAACGTTCTTGACAGGGTAGACATTTAGAGATTGCTTCTGCCAGTTGGGGAATTTAAAGCATGGGGTTCCAGGTCTCAGAATAAGGTGACAATCAGTTAGGACTGAGATGAGGAAAACTTTTTTGTCATTAAAGAGATTGTGAATTTTTGAAATTTGCTATCACAGAGGCTTCTGGATGCTTTATCACTGAATATTTCAAGACTACAATAGAGACTTCTGGTTTCTCAGGAAATTAAAAGATACAGGGAGTGGGTGAAATTGAAGATCAAGATCAGCCATAATCATATTGAGCAGGATTGACTGGCCCCATGGTTTACTCTTGATCATATCTCTCATAATTTTGTCTTAATACAATTAGCTAAGAGAATAAAAGATTGCGTTAGTTGTAGCATTGAGCTTAAAAGTGGCTTCACTAGCACTAAAATAGCATTGCAGGCTGTTTGCCATTTCCAGTGCTCCATGCTTTCCATGGATTTGAGAGGAACACACCAGCGCCCACACCAAGATAGTGTCCAATGTGATCTACAGACACTGTTTTTGATCCCCAAGTAGTACACATAGAGCTGAAACCACAGGAAAGCCCAAATTTAGATGCGCAGCTCTCAAACCAGAAAATAAAATGTCAAATCATGTACAAAAAGCAAAATAAAGAGAGGGAGGGATATGTACAACTGGAAAAGATAATAGGCAGAGGGAAACAAGTAAGCAAAAATTATTTTTTAAATAATCTGCAAAATAATACAAAAAACTTAAGGAATGAGATTCCACACTTCTAAAAGTTAAGTCTCAGTTACAGAGTGATTGTTTTGCAGTAATTAATAACATTATCATACTTTTAAAAATTAATTGGAATGGACAAATCGTTATCTATACAGCCCTGTTTATCGGAAATGTTTCATGTAATAACAACAAAGTTATGCATTTCCTTGCATTTAATACGATGTCTTTCCATCAGATATTAGTAGACCAAAGTTTCTGGAGAAGCAGGATAACTCCAATAGCAAAATCCTGATTTCCTTGTGTACATATGCAGGGTTAAGGGGACTGTGGATGTGCTGTTGTTGGGTATCTTTAGGACAGAAATTGATAGATGTTTTGCTACTAAGAGAATGAAGGGGAACAGAAGTAGTGCTTGGAAATGAAACTAACTTAGAAGGTCAGTCATTTTGTATTGAATAGTGGAACATACTTCAAGGGCCAGTTGATCCTTTCCAGCTCTTGTTTCTTATGTTCTTATGTAGTAATATTTTGAAAGTAGCAAGCTAGATTTATGAATCTTGGATCTCCACTAAAAGCTTGATAACAAAACCCTTCTGTGTGTTTTTCAGTGATAATCATGTGTATGCACTCAATTCTTATTGGAGGTGAGATGCAGAAACAGCTTTTGGAAAGTGCCCATGATTTGCAGATGACTGAAGGCAGCTACGTGTTTATACCATATGACACTCTTCTTTACAGTCTCCCATACCAAAACACTCCCTACCCAGTGCTGGTGAACAATTCAAAGCTCCAGAAGGCATACGACTCAGTGTTAACAATCACTGTGGATTCTGCAAAGGTGTCATTCCATCAGGCATTTCAAGAGCATGTGCAGAGCCGGGAAATTATAACACACTTGAAGCCTCACCAGGTACCTTTTAATTGTTGTTTTCTTATCTTCAGCTATTTCCCACTTCTTCAATTCACAGTGATGTATGCTGGAGTCCCAATTCTTCAGGTTCTTTGCCAAGTGACCATTTATTATGGATGAGTTGGGCAGTGCACATTGGAAACATTTTATGATTGCAACCAAGCCCTAAGCCCTCCGTCCATATATACCAAAGGTAATTGGAAATGTTCATTAGGAGAAACATAATACAGGCTGTTTTGTTTTTAGAACCAGAGAATGATCACAACACAGAAAGAGACAATTCAGTTTTTCATGTCCTGCAAAAGGAACTCACCTACTCCTTCTCCTCTGTATGGCATTGAATTTTAAATGATAATTATCCAATTCCATTTTGCAAGTTAGGAAACCATGCTTGACTTGTTCATTTGTGGATTCTTGTTAAACCATTGCAAACTCTCTGCTTCTAGGCCAGGAGGCCTAGGTTCAAGTCTCACCTGCTCCAGAGGTGTATCCTAACATGTCTGAACAGGTTGATAAAAATACCTAGAATCTGTCTCCACTACACTCAGGCACTGCATTCCAGACCTTACGCACATTTGCCTAAAAAGACTTTTCCTCATAATGCCATTGCTTCTTCTGCCGATCACCTTATATCAGCATCTTCTCGTTTTTAATCCTTCCATCAACAGCACCACTTTCTCCCCATCTACTCTGTCTATCATTCCTGCACCGTCTCCAATGCCAATTCGCATCCTTCCTAAAATGAGGAGCCCAGAACTGGATGCCATGCTCCAGCTGTGGGTGAACCTGATTATGAAAGTTTTATGGCCCTTTGATAGTCCAGTGACAGCAGCACACATCAGTACACAATTTTGTACTGTATGGGCTCAGTAGCCACTCCACTCTGTGTTCAAGATTAGAATCACTCCTTATGTGTTCACAATGTAATTAAATCCTTCTGCCAGTAATGGCATTACCAGGGTAGATTGTGAAACACTTTCTTTTTGGTCACCAGGTATCCCCATTGTTTGGTACAATCTATAATGCAATTTATTTTCTCGCCAAAGCTATGGAAAACAATAGAAAACACCAAGCCTGGGTCTCTGGCAGCAACATAGCTAAGTTTGCTAAGGACATAAGATTTGATGGCTTTAATCAGAGGATTTGGACTGACAAAAATGGGGACAGCTTCACTGATTATGTAATCCTGGACACTGATGGAAAAGGAACTGAACTGTATCACACATACACCATAGATATGGAAACAGATCTAATACGATTGACAGGGCGAGCAATTCATTTTCCCAATGGAGTCTTACCAAAAACAGATTCTGCATGCTGGTTTACTCGTGGGAAAATCTGTACTGGAGGTAAAGTGACATTCTTAAAATCTTTTATTTTTAGAGTTGTTTAGTGCCTGTTGGAAGTTTGTGTTTCTTTTCTGGGCCAAAATATGAAGTTTAAGATTTCATGGATGCCAAAAATCATACATGTTCCCAGAACACAATGGGTCATGATTTTCTGTCAGAATAAGTGAGCAGTGTAAATGTGTACATTGACTGCCAGTGTGAGTGAGCAGTGTAAGTGTGCACATTAACAGTGTGAGTGAGCAGCGTAAGTGTGCACATTAACAGTGCGAGTGAGCAGCGTAAGTGTGCGCATTAACAGTGCG